TATTGGTGATGCAATATTACATTTTTCAAAAATTAATGGTTTTGTGTTGAATTTAATGACTAGTATAATGGAACAAATTGGAAAATGTGAATAGCGCACTGTGAATTCTAGAATGCACGGTTATCATTTTAAAAGGTCGACCATTTGTGAAATTACATTTTCAGTGACCAGAGTCGCGTTTTGTTTTGGAAAATTCATAAATGTTCAGAAATGTGAAATTTTTAATGTTTATGTAAGTGAACTATTTACAATATCATTTGTTTTATATTACTTTTAAATATTAAATATCATTTTTTACCAAAAATTAAAAAAATATTAACTAAAATTATCATCACAAAATGAACAAATCAAAGAGCAAATTATCCTTCCTGTAAAGTATTAAAAAGGCATATGGCAATTGATTTTTCAAAAGTGGAAAATGTGACGTTGAAGACAACAATCAGTAATACAATATACTTGCCATGTCAAATGTGAAACTAAAATGCAGATTTTATGAGCAATAAAACAAATTTTTTTTTGCCCTGGTTTTTTATTTTTTTCTTCTAAAAACTTAACTTCAGGTGATATTATAAATGTCCCAATACATCAACTACATGGACTGCAATACAGTAGAATGATGAATTGATTGTCACTCCAACAACGAATGAACATTAGTCAAACTAATAAATATGTAACCGAATTCAGATCATATAATCCATATCTTTTTTTCTTATTCTATTGTTAATTTATGTTCAGTTTGAATTTATATACTGTAAATACATTATTCGCTGGCTTTTAATTTTTCTGATATGTGACATAATCGCTAAATAGCGAAAATAAGTTCCAGTAAAAATAAATTGTTTTACAGTATAGAAAAAGTGACAACAAAATATTGCAGGAAGACATCGCCTTTTCACAACCAATTCCCTCTTTTCATCACAAATTCCCTCTTTTCACCACAAATTCCCTCTTTTCACCACCAATTCCCTCTTTTCACAACCAATTCCCTCTTTTCATCACAAATTCCCTCTTTTCACCACCAATTCCCTCTTTTCATCACAAATTCCCTCTTTTCACAACCAATTCCCTCTTTTCATCACAAATTCCCTCTTTTCACCACCAATTCCCTCTTTTCATCACAAATTCCTTCTTTTCACAACCAATTCCCTTTTCATCACAAATTCCCTCTTTTCACCACCAATTCCCTCTTTTCATCACAAATTCCCTCTTTTCACAACCAATTCCCTCTTTTCATCACAAATTCCCTCTTTTCACCACCAATTCCCTCTTTTCACAACCAATTCCCTCTTTTCATCACCAATTCCCTCTTTTCACAACCAATTCCCTCTTTTCACCACCAATTCCCTCTTTTCATCACAAATTCCCTCTTTTCACCACCAATTCCCTCTTTTCACAACCAATTCCCTCTTTTCACCACCAATTCCCTCTTTTCATCACAAATTCCCTCTTTTCACCACCAATTCCCTCTTTTCATCACCAATTCCCTCTTTTCACCACCAATTCCCTCTTTTCATCACCAATTCCCTCTTTTCACAACCAATTCCCTCTTTTCATCACCAATTCCCTCTTTTCACAACCAATTCCCTCTTTTCATCACAAATTCCCTCTTTTCACCACCAATTCCCTCTTTTCATCACCAATTCCCTCTTTTCATCACCAATTCCCTCTTTTCACAACCAATTCCCTCTTTTCACAACCAATTCCCTCTTTTCATCACCAATTCCCTCTTTTCACAACCAATTCCCTCTTTTCATCACAAATTCCCTCTTTTCACCACCAATTCCCTCTTTTCATCACAAATTCCCTCTTTTCACCACCAATTCCCTCTTTTCATCACAAATTCCCTCTTTTCACCACCAATTCCCTCTTTTCATCACAAATTCCCTCTTTTCATCACAAATTCCCTCTTTTCATCACAAATTCCCTCTTTTCATCACAAATTCACAAAATAGTCCTGTTTATAGTCTGTACTTTTTTTCACAAGGTTGGGACAAAAGCCATTTTTTTTTTAGTAAAAACTGAAAATTGACTAAAATTTTGTCTGTTGGTTCTAAAATTAGGGTTCATTTCCCAAAATATTGAAGAATACAAAGAAAAAGTGCAGAATTATTTGGGTGAGCAAGTTTGATGGTAAAAAAGTTAACCTTCTGAATGCTATATTCAACTTCATTGTCACCTTTCATAAAATGCACAGGCAGAATTTGTTCTATAATTTATTTTTTAAAAATGTGCATGTAACCAATGGAAATTGATTACCACTTGATTAGCAAACTGATTAGGGAAATATATTGATGACTAAAATGGGGGGGGGGGGGTAACATTCAAAGGATTGATGGAAGGAACTCAAAGATGTGTAAAACAGGTGCAATTTTACATACATAAATACTTTGAGAATATCACTTTCAAAACCTCTTGTGCAATTATGAATAACTTACAATGATTTCAATTATTAAATACTACACGTCCCATTTCACTTCAACTGTACACAGAGTCACAGTAAACTTGTCTATTGTAGAAATATTACCAGCATAAAATAAAAAAAATTGCCTCCTCCAGCTCATCTGTTTGGATGATAAAAGAAGCAAATTCATATTGATGTTTTTCCGAAGAGGCAATGACATTGAATGCAAAAAGATGGTGCGAGTAGATTAAAGAAAGTGAGAAGAGGAAACATTTGTAGCATGTCCTTGTAATGGCAAAGTTCAAAACTTCATGTTTTTATATGGCACAGTTGATAAATTATTGCGATGCTATCAATTGCAATGAATCAATCAATTGAATGAAGGCATTCGTAACAACTAACTTTCATGAAAGTTGGTGTTTTTGTTCAACCCTAGTGAATGTCCCTGTATTTATTTCTGTTTTGCAAAATTAGAGTTTACAATTGATGTTGGAAAAAAAAAAAGATTATTAATATTGCCACTCTGACACTACAGGATTCTTCACAACTTTCATGCCTGCATAAAATGATTAGTGATAGAGGGCGCTCTTCCATAATAAGGCCATTTGTATTTTCACTGTATCCTCGGGGGCGGACATCCGGGCATTTTCTACCGCCTGGCAACCCTCACGGTGAAAACAAAGGCCAAAAACTTGCAAAAAACGGTACTTTGCGATGGTTGTTGAGACTCCCCTGAACAGTGTAACAAGATTAGCCCAACGTGTGTAACATATATGAATTTGGTTGTTCAGGATTACTTCAAAGTTGAGTTTGTGTTGTTTTCTCGGGTTTTCACCGGCTCCACCGGCGTTCCACAGCAGCACGCACAAAGCCCATAGAAATGCATGTACAGTGATGCGCGTCTTAGCAACGTAGAACGTCCGTGACGTAGCTCCACCCCCGAGGATACACAACTTATGAGGAAGGGGTAGCAGTTGTCAATAATTTGAGAAGTTAGTCTCATACAAAGCTGTAAAACTAGACTTTCTATGAATTTTTCTAATTTTTACCAACATTTTCCTGTTATTTAATTGATTAAAAATGTGAATGTGTTAAATTGATAGTAGGCCTACATCATTTTTATATTGACAATCTTCTGTAAATAATCTCAAGTTAAAAATATTCTGCCAATAAAAATAGATTAGTACAATGTATTCTTAATGCTATACGTAGTTGAGAATCACTTTATGAAAAAAAAATAATGACTTCCACAGACTTACGATTAACAAATACATTTCTACGAGCAAAGGTATAGTGTTTTGGTTGCATATTGGAGACTGTAAAATACTTTATTTTCACTTGGAATTAATTTTCGCTATTTTCGCTGAAAGGATGATTCAGTGAAAATAAAATCCAGCGAATATACCTTTTTTCCTATATAATACATTCAACTTGTCAAAAATCAGTGAAAATTAATTCCATACAAAACACCTAAAGTCTTTTCTGTGAAAATTAATAGCTAAAATAAAACATTTTACAGTAGCTGAAATGGGGGGGGGGGGTTCTATGGTGGCATGTTTTTACAGAGGTTTTCATGATCTGTATGTAAAACCTTGTGAGATATTGTCATCCTTGATTGAGAGAGGGGGTAGGGGTCCATATCTAGTTTGTCAAGGGTTTGGTCTATAAATCTGAACAATCATGACAAAAATTACTGACGCAGTCATGAACATTGATTTTATTGTTTTATTGATATAAAAGCAGTTGCTGTGAACTGTACAAGTTTAACAATAGCAGTCTTTATAAGATTATTTTGAATATAAGAATTTATTGAAACCAGTTTTTACATCTTATCTTAAACATTAAATTGCCACAATGGTAACTGTATTGATGGCACAAGACATCCATAACAGCACATGTTCCAGTGTTCCCTCTAAGCCAAATTGTGCTATAGTCTCAAAAAAAAAAAAAAGCATGTGAATATTAATTTTGTTAATTTAAGTATGACATTGACAGAAGTTTTTACAGACAATAAAATTTTAATTTCCTTTTCTTCCCATTTTTTGCTGTGAAAAAATCTTTTAATCTTTCATTTATGTGAAGTATGTTAGATACACGATGAAGACTTTGCTGCTTTTCAGGACTGGCGTTTCATGGCAGAACATTTCAGAGTTTTTTCATCTGTTTTTTATGTAAGTTTTAAGCTTGATTCTAGGGAATTAAATGATTAATCATATATGTGTATTGGTTGTGTTCATTTTATACAATAATACAGACAGTAGAGGTAAGCAGAACCTCCCATGTAATTGTGCAAGTTGAAATATGTAAGAGTTTGAGTTTAAATGTCAAGTTTTGCATCTACCGAGCATGTTACTGAGCGTATGGATAATGCATTATGGGAGAGAAAGTAGAGTTTTGCATCTACTGAGCATGTTACTGAGCATATGAACAATGCATTATGGGAGAGAAAGAGTTTTGCATCTACTGAGCATGTTACTGAGCGTATGGACAATGCATTATGGGAAAGAAAGTCGAGTTTTGCCTCTACCGAGCATGTTACTGAGCGCATGAACAATGCATTATGGGAGAGAAAGAGTTTTGCATCTACTGAGCATGTTACTGAGCATATGGACAATGCATTATGGGAGAGAAAGTCAAATTTTGCATCTACTGAGCATGTTACTGAGCGTATGGACAATGCATTATGGGAGAGAAAGTCAAATTTTGCATCTACTGAGCATATGAACAATGCATTATTGGACATCTACTGAACAAATTCCGAAACAATGCATAATAAGAAAAATTCATATGGAATTTCATACATCATTGGACACTCACTGAATTTGCAATATTTACAAATATTGGGGCTTATATACATGTATGAGAATACATAGTACATTATAACTGAATACTGGCTAAATTACTGTAAAATGCTTTAAAGCGAGGGAGTTGTCACCTGCGCATGTGTCAGATGGCCATAGCTGGTCATTGTTTACAAACAAGCTTCTACCCATGAGCCTTTTCATTTTTAGCTTGTGACTCAATTCCTGTGCGTGCGCAGGTGACGACCCTCTCACTTTAATATTTTAAAACAAACGTATGTGAATCCAGGAACATCCACAAATTTTGTAGCAATGAAAATTTCACTTGAAACCTTAAATACAGCAACGACTTTTGCAAATCGGCAAATGTTGAGAAATGATTTACAGTATACTCTGTTTTACGTTATATGGTGGCCATTTTGTGTAGTCATTCTCAAAAGTAACATAGAGGGCACACTATTCCACCAACACTTCATTCTGCCTAAGCACATGCCAATTCAATTTCCTTACAAAATCCACATCAGACCAATCTAATCCCTAGACTTTTTGTGTTTACGTCTGTGACGTTTGTCATCATCATCATCATGTTCATGTTTTCTTTTATGTCTGTACTTTTTACGATCTGCATCACGATGCGAACTCCGACTAGTGCGTTCTACATCACTTGTGTATAAATTCCGACTGCTGTCTTCTTTATCACTAGCGTACGAACTAGGACTGTCTTTTTCTTTATCATCTGTATAATAACGTTTGCTCTTATGCTCCAACTCGTTACTATTTCGCTTATGTTCGTTACCATAAGACTTGCGTTTATCCCGTTCCCTGTCTTTGTAGACCCTATGTCTATCCCTGTCAGTTCGTAAAGACTCCCCATAAGTATGTTCTTTTGAATACCTACTCTGGCAAGAACTTGTATCATGTGATTTCCCATACTGTGATGGACTGCTCGATCTACTGCGATGTGAAGTACCAACTTCTTCAGAATTCCTGTAAACAAATGGAATAATAAAATTCATTATATGAAGCATACCAACAACTCAACAGTTTACAACAACAGTCTGGTTCCATCATCAGTTGTCCAAGAATCATCACCTATAGACATAACCAATCTATAAACTTCCTAAAATACACTGAATAAACCAATTATATAATCTGAAAAAAACAAACAATTAGATTCACAAGCAACTGATTCATGATTTCTAGATTTATGCAAATTGAGCGTTTATGTCAACGATGGTTTTAAGTCTAGCATCATTGGTTTTTAAATTGAGCCCTTCACACAATTCAATTTTTTGGAAAAAACATATCCCTAGTCTGACTATAGAGGGCACTCTTCATAGAATTGTGAGCTTTTAATGACACTCTATGTCAGTGTTCTCCCCAGGATGGCAGTGCTGCATACTTTTCACCATGCCTGGTTTATTAGGATCGGTAAAAACATTGTAATGGTACTTGTATAAAGCAGTCTGTGATGAACAGTACCTTACCTTTTACGCCAAAATTGAAGAAATGCTGATTCCAATGTTGAAAATACTAATGATTGACACATGGATAAACTCAACAAAATTGTTGCAGGCTTTACGTAATGCCAAGAAAAATCAATGTCAACAAATTCAATTCAAATTATATAACAGCTGGTGTCCTTTTGGCCTACCTTATTCAAAAGACTGCAGCCTATCTGTCCTTGGGGGCACTCATCATAACGCTTCATTCAATACGACCAGAATTATTTTAAACAGTTCAGTGGTTACTGTTTTTAATTTACCGAAAACCCTCCATTACATATTTTACCACCATTTTTTGCACAAACAAATAGTGTGTGTCGTGTGTCAAAATTTTCTACAAACTCCATTATAATGACTGATGTCTGTAGCCTTGTGTAAGGTCACTTTGGCCATGCAATTTTGCAGTAAAATTTTGTGACCTTCACGTGGTTAAATTTGAACAAAAAATGTTCAAAATCACAGCTACTATTGCTTCAATGTTCCAACATACCTTGATTTGTCATTATCTTTATTAATATCAGTTAACATTTGCATATGACTTTCAATGATTTCTCTCATCACCTGGAAAAAAAATTTCATTATAAATGACATAGTCCCTGTTACATCATTGAAAAAAATGGCATACATAAGACACTATGCTACATATACACAAAATCTGGAAAGGTTATGGATGCTAATAATAATTAGTAACTGGATATACATTTTGAACTAAACTACAACACAACATAAAGGAAATTTCAGGATGTACAATGTATCAGTGACCATGTTTGATACAATCACAAAAAAGTTTCTCAGACATCAGGGTTTTAGCCAAAAAATAGAAGTGCCTGCCGAAAATCTTTATCGAAACGAAAAAAAAAGTCTCTAGTCTATAACCACAAAATTGCAATTGATTTTTTCTTGATTATTTATGGATATTTTGATATTTACATGTCATTTTTAATCAAAGTTGGATAGGTTTTAGAAATTTTGCCTGTCTAATGAAATATTGTACCTGATTAAATTGTGCAGTGGCCATTTAAAAAGCTGGGCACACATAAGCCAGGTAAGTTAAAGGACAATTTCACACAGTTTCAAATGTATTTTGGGATGAAATAAAAAATGGTTTGCTTAGTACCCATAAAATCTGTATTAGAAGCCACATCCCTAATAGAAGTCGCACCCAATTTTTTTGAAAAGTTGAGAATCAAAAATTCATCATTTCTCATATGTGTAAATGCTCTAATAGAAGCCACATCCTCTCTGTTGCATTGTACCATTTTAATAGAAGCCATGGTTTCTAATACAGATTTAGGCAGAGAGTTCTCCGAACCCGCCTATTCACATAGTTCATACCCACCATAGACTCTGGTCAGTCAAAATGACTTTTTTGAACTGTAGGCATTAATCAGCGATTCTGCCGGTGACGGAGAGATAGAATCTAGGTCAGGGGAAGCCCCCATGACCCCAAGATTCTTTTACCCTTACGTCACGAACCCACGTGACCGAGGCCACATGGCAGCGCCATAGACGGCCGTACAATCACTCTGGTTCCTTTCTTTCCGAACAATGCTACGGAAAGAGTGGGGTGGTTGGAGG